GCGTCGCCCAGTCTGCCACGAGGATGTCTCCTGTCCCATCGAAACACACATCGTACGGGTAGCGCAATAAATGATGAACGTCTCCTTGTCTCGCTGTGTCGGGGTAACGGAACCTCAATTTGAGATGTTTATCCATGACCTTGACATGAGGATGTTTCCCTGTCCCTGCCCCGGAGATATACTCGTCATACACCACGCCTTCGTTATCAGTCGCCGCGACATTTCCCGTCTGGGTACAGCAGGCCAGGTGGTGTGGCGTCACCGCCGGCTGTCTACAGGGGAGTATGGCAAGCCAAGTTGTCATTTATGCATGGAGCAATGTTGNGCTAAAACTTAATTGACATATTAAGGAGAATTTTCATAGCCATTTCAATGACTAACAAATGCCATTCATACTATTACAGATATATTGTATAGCTGTTGAGTTAGCTAACACAATATTGGGTGATATATCCAAGGAAATTTTCATAGCCATTTCAACGGCTAACAAATGCCCTTAATGATAACACAAATTATTGTATAGCTGTTCAGTTAGCTACAGTCTGCTATCTCGCTTGCTGCAGCTGTGGATGCCAGTCATGTAGACCATTATAATAAGATATATCAGTGGCAGGTCAGCCATTTGATTTCATGGTCAGTTATTTGACTTCATGGTGTTAAAGGCATTCTTTGTCAATTTCAATCATATGTGTGCATATTCTAAAGAGTGAGGAGGGATTGCATAAATAAGTATGATATTAACATTATTTTTAAAGATAAATTCACTAATAAGTATAATATTAACATTACTTTTTAAGATAAATTTAATAACAAGTATAATATCCACACTACTTTTTAAGATAAATCTAATAATAAGTATAATTTTCATACTACTGGACTCCCAAATTATGTTGTATGTTGTAGTTGTTCGGTGGCTACAGGTCTGCTAAAGAAGTCCACCGTCTGGAGCGTCACTGGAGAGGGCAGGGTTTGACATATCTTCGCCAGTTTCATCACTTCTTTAGTTGTTCCTGAACTGATGACCGTCTCACAAATCTCCACTCCCGGCTGTTGGGTTTCCTCCTGATGTGAGGCTTTGTATGTCTCTAGGAGGTTGGCGTTATGTCGTTCGATGCTTGTACATATAGTTACTAACCGGTCCACGACAGTGTCAATTTCATCCTTCATTACCTCCCCTTGTCTTCTGATGCTATCTACCAGTGATCCGAACGTGGGACATTTGTAATTGGATAAGATAGCTATTTATCACTCTTATATAGAAGAGCNGCCCCGGAACTGACCACTTTCTGTAGACGAGAGACTCTCCAGGTATTGACGAATGACCTCACGTTTTCCGGGTAAAACGTCGCTGACGTCATGCAGGTTGTGGCCTTTGTGAAGTTCATCTCTAGATCTACACTCGGGACACATCAACTCCTCGTCACAGTCCAAACACACGTATGACAACTGCGCCCCCTGGTGGCTAGCACATCCGGGCTCTTCACCGGAAGCCGACATCTCCTTGATAGTTGATTTTAACACTTTCCGGTCAAACTACATAATTACTTACATGTGGACTTTGAACAACATGGCCAGTATTGCGCTCCTCACACCGGCGCTGAGGTGTTATATTGTGTACACGGCTATAGTGACGTGTCGATATAATCTACCGATTTCGGAGACGCATCAGAGACTCCTATACCTTACTGTAGCGGACTTTGGCTATTTCCCCATTGTGTTTAGCCTACACATGCACAGTAAATGTCCTGTCTGTTGAGCAATCTACACTGTACGTTCAGATTGATAATAAAGTATGTACCTCGACACTTGTTATACTCTGTAATGAACACTACGGGGGCCAACTTTAACAGTTACATTGTACTGAAGGAGTAATGTCAATTATATGGTAAATGAAATATGAAGATATTTTATAAAGTAATCCAGATATCTTATAACCTATTTAAGATACAATAATGTAAGATAAATATTTCAGAAGTTATTATATTGTATTGTAAAAGATGCCTTTTAAAATAAATATGATGTACAATTTCATAAATTACGGGATCGACAATGTTCTTTTAATAAATAATAAGCAAGCTTCCAATAGCATAAATATGTCAGGACAATCATATTTACTATAACGGTAGCAGGAATCACATCTGTGTGTTTGTCTATGTTAACGCTGTTTGTCTATGTTACCGCTGTTTGTCCATGTTAACGCTATTTGTCTATTTTAACGCTATTTGTCTATTTTAACCCTGTTTGTCTATGTTAACGCTGTTTGTATATTTTAACGCTGTTTGTCTATGTTAACGCTGTTTGTATATTTTAACGCTGTTTGTCTATGTTAACGCTGTTTCACTATGTTCCCGCTGTTTGTCTATGTTAACGCTATTTGTCTATTTTAACCCTGTTTGTCTATGTTAACGCTGTTTTTCTATGTTACCGCTGTTTGGCCATGTTAACGCTATTTGTCTATTTTAACGCTATTTGTCTATTTTAACGCTGTTTGTCTATGTTAACGCTGTTTCTCTATGTTACCGCTGTTTGTCTATGTTACCGCTGGTTGTCTATGTTAACGCTATTTGTCTATTTTAACGCTATTTGTCTATTTTAACCCTGTTTGTCTATGTTAACGCTGTTTGTCTATTTTAACGCTATTTGTCTATTTTAACCCTGTTTGTCTATGTTAACGCTGTTTCACTATGTTACCGCTGTTTGTCTATTTTAACGCTATTTGTCTATTTTAACCCTGTTTGTCTATGTTAACGCTGTTTGTCTATTTTAACGCTGTTTGTCTATGTTAACGCTGTTTGTATATTTTAACGCTGTTTGTCTATGTTAACGCTGTTTCACTATGTTCCCGCTGTTTGTCTATGTTAACGCTGTTTGTCTATGTTACCGCTGTTTGTCAGTATGTTAACTCTATGTTGACACTGTTTGTTAGTATGTTAACTTTATGTTGACGCTTTTTGTAAGTATGTTAACTCTATGCTGACACTGCTTGTTAGTATCTTAACTCTATGTTGACGCTATTTGTCAGTATGTTAACTCTATGTTGACGCTGTTTGTTTGTATGTTAACTCTATGTTGATGGTGTTTGTCAGTATGTTAACTCTATGTTGACGATGTTTTACATTATGTCAACTTTATGTTGACGCTGTTTGTTAGTATGTTAATTTTATGTTGACACTGTTTATCAGTATGTTAACTCTATGTTGACACTGTTTGTTAGTATGTTAACTTTATGTTGACACTGTTTATCAGTATGTTAACTCTATGCTGACACTGTTTGTCAGTATGTTAACTCTATGTTGACGCTATTTGTCAGTATGTTAACTCTATGTTGACGCTGTTTGTTTGTATGTTAACTCTATGTTGACGCTGTTTGTAAGTATGTTAACTCTATGTTGACACTGTTTGTCAGTATGTTAACTCTATGTTGACGCTGTTTGTTAGTTTGTTAACTTTATGTTGACGCTTTTTGTCAGTATGTTAACTCTATGTTGACACTGTTTGTTAGTATGTTAACTTTATGTTGACGCTGTTTGTTAGTATGTTAACTCTAAGTNTTGTTGACACTGTTTGTTTGTATGTTAACTCTAAGTTGACGCTGTTTGTTAAAACGGTAACTCTATGTTGACATAAGAAGGACGCTGTGTTTATCAGCACTTTGACACTGTTGACATAAAAAGGACGCTTTGTTTATCAGTACTTTGACACTTTTGACATGAGAAGAACGCTGTGTTTATCAGTACTTTGACACTGTTGACATAAGAAGGACGCTTTGTTTATCAGTACTTTGACACTGTTGACATGAGAAGGACGCTTTGTTTATCAGCACTTTGACACTGTTGACCTAAGATGGACGCTGTGTTTATCAGAACTTTGACACTGTTGACATAAGAAGGACGCTGTGGTCATCCGCACTTTGACACTGTTGACATAAGAAGGACGCTTTGTTTATCAGCCCTTTGACACTGTTGACATAAGAAAGACGCCTTGTTTATCAGCACTTTGACACTGTTGACCTAAGAAGGACGCATTGTTTATCAGTACTTTGACACTGTTGACATGAGAAGGACGCTGTGTTTATCCGCACTTTGACACTGTTGACATAAGGACGCTTTGTTTATCAGTACTTTAACACTGTTGACATAAGAAGGACGCTGTGTTTATCAGTACTTTGACACTGTTGACATAAGAAGGACGCTGTGTTTATCAGTACTTTGACACTGTTGACATAAGAAGGACGCTTTGTTTATCAGTACTTTGACACTGTTGACATAAGAAGGACGCTGTGTTTATCAGCACTTTGACACTGTTGACATAAGAAGGACGCTTTGTTTATCCGTACTTTGACACTGTTGACATAAGAAGGACGCTGTGTTTATCAGCACTTTGACACTGTTGACATAAGAAGGACGCTGTGTTTATCAGCACTTTGACACTGTTGACCTAAGAAGGACGCTTTGTTTATCAGTACTTTGACACTGTTGACATGAGATGGACGCTGTGTTTGTCCGCACTTTGACACTGTTGACATAAGAAGGACGCTGTGTTTATCAGTACTTGGACACTGTTGACATAAGAAGGACGCTGTGTTTATCAGCGCTTTCACACTGTTGACATAAGAAGGACGCTGTGTTTATCAGTTCTTTGACACCGTTGACATAAGAAGGACGCTTTGTTTATCAGCACTTTGACACTGTTGACATAAGAAGGACGCTGTGTTTATCAGTACTTGGACACTGTTGACATAAGAAGGACGCTGTGTTTATCAGCGCTTTCACACTGTTGACATAAGAAGGACGCTGTGTTCATCAGTACTTTGACACTGTTGACATAAGAAGGACGTTGTGTTTATCAGTACTTTGACACTGTTGACATAAGAAGGACGCTGTGTTTATCAGTACTTTGACACTGTTGACATAAGAAGGACGCTATTATTGCCAGTTTCCCAGTAATTGATTCTCACTCTACATGACTAGTCTGATTAGTAAACAACACAATGTACAATGTTGATTTACGTATATATTTTATTAAAAAAAGCCTAGCTGACAATCTGAAATGGCGATGATAAAATATAGTGCTGACGGATGAAACAAGATACATACTTATCATAAACCTGTCCTGACACACAACATGCGCCCACTTACATAGAAAACTGTTCATCATACAGGCCTAATTTTCATGTCTATATATTTCATAGAGTATTTATAGCCCCTCCAGCTGTGCCAGTTGACTCCATCCGCGAGGGTCTCGTGCTCGCCCTCTAAGTACACCCCGTTTGGGTTAGCGTTATGACAGTTGTTGTACCAGAATCCACCCTTAAAGCTTTCGGCGCAGTTACCCGGCGCTCCATCGTTGTCCAAGTCGAAGGTAGAGAACATCATCCCATTATGTACCTCCATGGAGTCACCTATAACGGTAAATATATCAATGTTAGCCACATGTAACTGAAAACATGTCAGTGTAAGTCACGTGTAACTGTAAAGATGTCAGTGTTAGTCACGTGTATCTTTAAAGATTTTATCAACATCATCATCATATTTCGTATCTCATCCTCAACCCACCAACACTCACACACACCTTATCCGTTTCAATTTACCCTGCCACACTAAGTAACCTTTCTGAATCTCCCGAGTACCCTGCTACACCTTACAACCTATCAACGTCCCCTGAGTACCTTGTCACACCTGTATAACTTACCTACGGTCCCTGAGTACCCTGCCACACGTGTATCTCTTATCTGCGTCCCCTGAGTACCTTGTCACACCTGCATATCTTACCTACGGTCCCTAAATAGCATGTCACACCTGTATAACTTACCTACGTCCCCTGAGTACCCTGCCACACCTGTATAACTTATCCACGTCCCCTGAGTACCCTGTTACACCTTTATAACTTACCTGCGTCCCCTGATTACCCTGTCACACCTGTATAACTTACCTACGTCCTCTGAGTACCCTGTTACACCTTTATAACTTACCTGCGTCCCCTGATTACCCTGTCACACCTGTATAACTTATCTACGTTCCCTGAGTACCCTGTTACACCTTTATAACTTACCTGCGTCCCCTGATTACCCTGTTACACCTGTATAACTTATCTACGTCCCCTGAGTACCCTGTCACACCTGTATAACTTACCTGCGTCCCCTGAGTACCCTGTCACACCTGCATATCTTACCTACGGTCCCTGAATAGCATGTCACACCTGTATAACTTACCTGCGTCCCCTGAGTACCCTGTCACACCTGCATATCTTACCTACGGTCCCTGAATAGCATGTCACACCTGTATAACTTACCTGCGTCCCCTGAGTACCCTGTCACACCTGTATAACTTACCTGCGTCCCCTGAGTACCCTGTCACGCATGTACAACTCCCTTACGTCCTCTAAGTACCCTATCACACCTGTCCCTGGGTACCCTGTCACACCTGTATAACTTATCTACGTCCCCTGAGTACCCTGTTACACATTTATAACTTATTTACGTCCCCTGAGTACCCTGTCACACATGTACAACTCCCTTACGTCCCCTAAGTACCCTATCACACCTGTCCCTGGGTACCCTGTCACACCTGTATAACTTACCTGCGTCCCCTGAGTACCCTGTCCCACATGTACAACTCCCTTACGTCCCCTAAGTACCCTATCACACCTGTCCCTGGGTACCCTGTCACACCTGCATAACTTACCTGCGTCCCCTTGGTACCCTGTTACACATGTATAACTTATCTACGTCCCCTGAGTACCCTGTTACACATTTATAACTTATATACGTCCCCTGAGTAGCCTGTCAAACCTGTACAACTCCCTTACGTCCCCTAAGTACCCTATCACACCTGTCCCTGGGTACCCTGTCACACCTGTATAACTTATCTACGTCCCCTGAGTACCCTGTTACACATTTATAACTTATTTACGTCCCCTGAGTACCCTGTCAAACCTGTACAACTCCCTTACGTCCCCTAAGTACCCTATCACACCTGTCCCTGGGTACCCTGTCACACCTGTATAACTTATCTACGTCCCCTGAGTATCCTGTTACACATTTATAACTTATTTACGTCCCCTGAGTACCCTGTCAAACCTGTACAACTCCCTTACGTCCCCTAAGTACCCTATTACACCTGTCCCTGGGTACCCTGTCACACCTGTATAACTTACCTGCGTCCCCTGAGTACCCTGTCCCACATGTACAACTCCCTTACGTCCCCTAAGTACCCTATCACACCTGTCCCTGGGTACCCTGTCACACCTGTATAACTTACCTGCGTCCCCTTGGTACCCTGTTACACATGTATAACTTATCTACGTCCCCTGAGTACCCTGTTACACCTGTCCCTGAGTATCCTGTCACACCTGTATAACTTACCTGCGTCCTCTGAGTACCATGTTACACATGTATAACTTATCTACGTTCCCTGAGTACCCTGTTACACCTGTATAACTTACCTGCGTCCCCTGAGTAGCCTGTCAAACCTGTACAACTCCCTTACGTCCCCTAAGTACCCTATCACACCTGTCCCTGACTACCCTGTCACATTTGTATCACTTAACTACGTCCCCTGAGTACCATGTTACACCTGTATAACTTACCTACGTCCCCTGAGTACCATGTTACACCT